TTTCACAATTTTCTATTTTATTTGTATAACCGAATCATCATATTTGTAAAATTTTGCGTTGAGGAAATTATTTTAGCTAGTGACTTACATTTATTTTTGTAAATTATTATTTATACAATCTTTTTAAATTATGTTTTTAGACAATATTCAGAGTTGATTTATTTATTAGTTTGAGAGTGCATTTCTGAACCTTCGCGACTGCGTCTCTAAGGTCATTTTATAAAATAGCTATTATTGATCACATACGCTGTAATATATTTACATGTTCACATACTTATCCGAATATTTACATGTTCACATACTTATCGACATCTATTTTTTCACATTGATATATTGAATAATGCTTAAAACTATCCATAATGAAATTTTACATACACTATGATGAATTTATATTTTGTTACTGTTACCATTTAAATTATAATATATCATGTGTTTTGTCGAGTTATTGTTTTTCAAATAAGTCGTTGTTTTTTAAATTGTATTAGTTTTAACATTGAAAATGACCCAATTAGGGTCGAAACGTTTGTGATAATAAACTTTTGTTTTATAATAACACAGCATTAAGACCTGGCTTGGCTCGTAGCCCTATACTTATTATTAATTTTATAAATTATGTGAGCCTTTTTCTTAAAAATATATAATATATTTCAGAAATTTATTTAACCTCCTCAAGTACTAAGGTTGGTCCGTGAGACCACGCGAAAGAAAAAACGCTATATTTATATCTGTACGCTCTATGTTATATCGGTTTGATTAATAAAACAATAGATTTATAAAATTGCTGTTTTTATTCTTCAATAGTTTTTTTAAATCAATATCTCTCTTTTAGGGACTAATCTCAGTAAAAGTGGCGTTATTTTATTTTATTTTAACTCTTAATGCTTAAGGGTTAAAATATCAAATAAGCAATAGATTTCACAAATGTATTTAATGAATATATTTTATTACTTATAGCTATATAATTCTCTAGGTTGTGAAAAGGGTATCATTTTTTCAAAAATATTTTCCTTATAATTTATTTCAAACCAAGAATCGAAAACTTTTGTGCATTTCGTAATCTGATTAATTATTATTTTATTATATATATTAATATTATTAATTAATATTATTAATATTATTATCCCTAGTATGGCATTGTTATTTTTAATTTCCTTTCCGATAACATTAGGATTTGTAAGACTCTGCAACTTTGTCACGCTATATCTCTGAACTGAATACGTATTTTTTTAGCTCAAAACGTGTGAAATTTATATCTCAAAGTCAGACAAAGACAGAGAAATATGAATCGAATAAATAATATTTTATTTTCAATTAATTACAATGCTTCAAAGAAGTGTTATTCGTAAAAAATTCGTCAAAAATAGCCACTTTGGAAAGAAAATCTAAAATGTAATTTAAATTGAGTCCTCAAATTATACGTGTATTATA